AAACATTACTCTCTGTCTGTGTGTGAGCAGAGGATTCGTGGGCGTAAAGCATCTCTGGATGAGATCCAGTCCGTCCATTCAGAGTTCCACACCCTGCTGTACGGAACCAGTCCGCTCAATCGGCACAAACTGGACCACAAGAAGCTGCTCGGTACCCGTCTGTCTGTCTGACTGTCTGTCTACACTTTCTATACACTGAAGCTTGACTAAAGTAAATCTGTAAATTATAAATTATAGAAAAATTATAGAGAAAAATGCAGCCCTGTCTTAACTTTTGCTGTACGAGTTTTATCGCTTCTTTAAATGTTCCTGTTTAATTTTTAGAAATGAAGTAAACATCAATCAGACACCCAGAACAATTATCCTCACAGTAACTCCACAGAGGGAAATAGGACAGGAATGTCACAGCATCCTTACTGTAAATAAGCTCAGGGCCCAGCAGTGTGTCCACTGTAACTGAATACTTTACCCAGAAACATCATTTGTAATTACATAAAGGTTGATAACAGTCAGATGTTGTGATGATTGAGTGTTCTGACAACCCAGTGATGGTCCTTCCATCCTGTGTTTGGCTGTTGCCTGTGTGGGAGTCTGTTTAGTTGGTGTCGTACCCACTTTCCTGTTTGTCTGTTATTATTATTTCCACTTGTGATAAATGTATCGAGCACTTCATGTAAATATGTGCCATAACCTCAACTCTCGCTCGTTCCAGGTCCGATTAGCCAGAAGATGTACGCTGTTCTTCCCTGTGGAGGAATCGGGGTGAGATTCTCTCTTTCTAGCCGGTCTGCCTGTGTTAGTGTTAGCCCTGGTCTGAACTGTGTGCTGCCCCCTGCAGGTGGACAGCGACACAGTGTGGAATGAGATGCACTCATCGGCTGCAGTGCGCATGGCGGTGGGCTCGGTCATCGAGCTGGCCTTCAGAGTGGCTGCAGGGGAGTTAAAAGTAAGGCTTTCACCGATGCTTGTGAGTGTGAGCTCATGCTGTGTGCGCGCCCCCCTCACTCTGTGCTTGTTTTTCTAGAACGGCTTCGCAGTTGTTCGTCCTCCGGGGCACCATGCTGAGGAGTCCACGGCTATGTCAGTACACCTGTCACACAATTCTGACTACATTTCTCTCACTACATCCGCAGCTTGACTAATATGTTTTTTAATGTGTTTGCACAGGGGCTTTTGTTTCTTCAATTCAGTCGCCATTACTGCCAAGCTGCTGCAGCAGAAACTTGGGGTGGGCAAGATCCTCATTGTGGACTGGGTGAGAGGGCAGACACACACAGTCATGTTTTCATATTTTTGTTGGGACATCTAATTGACATAATGCTTTCCCTAGCCTAACCATCAAAAAT